TTAATTTGTGGTCATCTTTAATATTTTATGAGTTAAGCTTGATTCTACTCCATTATGCACTATAGGAGAAGAAAAAGCAGCAGCTACTAATGTCATAGATGAGTGTTTTCACCTGTTATAAATTCCATTCACCATGAAGTGACTGGACAACACACACTCCCCCCCAAAAAAGTGTTTCTGCTCATTGCACCTCCCTTACTGAAGTGATTTCTATTTCTTTTGATTGCCTGTGAACACCAAAGCATAAAATATGGTAGCTTCAGTAACCTGAACAGCTCAATTCATTAACAGTCACGTGCAAACTTCAACACTCAGCTGGCACTCAGGAGACCTACAGCTAGCAGGGCATCCAAAATCTGACAGTTAGGAAATTCCTTTTAAATTCCTCCATGTACATTATTCTAACATTCATTCAGCAAGCCATTCAATCCTTCGTCTGTACATCAAGTTTTTAATCCAAAATCACAGAATGAACCTTCAGTTTATGACCCTTCCTCTTCTCCAAAAATCTGCCCCAGGGAATTTATAAGCAGTTGCTATCTCTCATCTCTGCCATTAAGCCACAAAAGCCAGAGTACCCTAAGTCTCGATCTTTCATGTAACTTCAGACTGTTCATACCACATCATCTTTGTAGCCTGAATGTTCCTGTACGTGTTCCACTATAATTTAATTTTTTCTGTACCCAAGAGCCCAGAACTATATGCAGCATTTGACATGAAGTCTCCCTAATACCTGGTCTTTCTCCACTGAAGAGCTCTCACCAAGGACTGTTTGCTTCCATTTCACACTCAGTATCACATAAGAGTACCCGTTCGACTGTGGCAGTCAGGCCTTTTCCTCCATGCCTGTTTTAAGGGATGGCCTGCCAGCCGATTGCAGACTTGTTGATAATAATCATTCAGTGGATAACTTTGCTTGTAGAGCTACTTAACTTCCTGTCATTCTTATTGCTTCAGTCATCACAGACATTCAATTCTTCCTGTACAGTAATCCAGCTCACCTCAGTGCTGACTAGGTTTCCTAACAGCCTCATCAGCAATTGTCCTTTTCATACAGTTATCTCAGCCAGTATGGCGAAGTAAAGAGACCAGCTCCCCATTAATAATGATCTAGATCAGTAATTCCTTTATTCATGCAGAGTCACAATCTCTCCTTCAGCAGACACCTCACCATTCTTCAGCCAAGCCCTGCACTTTCAGTTTAGTTATTTTCAGTGTCGTGCCTGCCATGGTGAGTACACATAGAATTGATGCCTTCTGCTCCTTTTGTCTACAACATTCAGTATTTAACCAGTAATAATATGATTTTAGTCTTCCATGACCTAATTGTGGCAAATCCATGATGCATTTTATCCTATTTTCCACTTATCTTTGTATACTTAATTACTTTTTTCGTTCCAAATTTGTTCTAAATCCTTGAATACTATTGATACCAGAAGTAAAAGGTGTGAAGATTTCATTCTCTTCTCCTTTAAAATAAACAGAAGTATATGTCTTTTGCTATATTACTATCTCAAATGCTACATTCAACCTGACAAACAAAAACCAATCCTGGGGGCTTTTTTAAACCTGACTCCAGTGTTCTGTGCCAACCCTCTCAGACCTTCAAAGCAGAGACCCTTTGCTGACTTAGTCTGGATTCTGGAAGCAGGCGTAAGATGTTTATTCTGGTCATTTCCACAGATTTTTCATTTCTACCCTATCTTTCTTCCCTATTCAAATCTTCATCCTTATCTAAAACTGGTTATCATTGCTAATTTTAGGGGCAGCAGATATATTTTTCAACTATAGCCTGGTCCCCAGAACAACATAGCCAAGTTCTCCTCCTCCTTTTATTATGTTTCCCCTCTTCATCTTAAATTTCTTCAGCCTTTAACTTTTGGCAATTCACATGCTATTCCTGCAGTTTCTGCTCTCCAACAATCAATGTAGTCCTTCACTTCATTCCTTTTAGGTTTTCTGGTAACCTGCAGTATCTTATTCTCACAGCAAAGTCCACAGTCCCTCTTGGCAAGCTTTCTCTCCTCCTTAAAATACAGTTTCCAAGCAGCTGTTTTACCTTCCACTTAAGAAAGTCCAAGGCTTTTTTTTTTTTTTTCCTTTTTTTTAATGTCATTTTATTTAAACCTCGCAACTCCTACAGATCTTCAGCCCTGTGGACAAATCAAACAAACTAGTTCTTCTAACTTCTCAGAACGTGCCCTGCTAAAATGAAGCTTCCTTGAAATAAAAACACTTTGTAGGTGACATATAATTACCCTTCAGTTTAATTCAAAATCAGGAGCTCTAATCTAGCAGTGGGAAGCAAAAAACATTGTCAGCCAGTGAGAGACCAGAGATATTCCAGAACCTAAAGATATACCCTCTGGTTCTGGGCAGGCTCTAAACATGAGCCTTTATTTACTCTGCATTCCATCACAATTAATGGCCCAAATCTACCATGTGATAATCCAGTGTACTGACTTCCAACTTAGTCAGCACTGGAAAACGTACTTACAAAAGCATATTTGAGAAACACCTTCCCTTTATACACTAGCACAATATCTAAAAAGCTGCTCTGTAGCTCTGAGCAACCATAACGTTTGCAAGGCTACATTCTATAATTTGACTTAGTTTTGCCTCACTAAATCAAACAGCCCTCCAGATTTTGAAGCACAGCATGAACCTTTAACAGAAAACCATCTCCTAGCCGGTGGAAGACTGCATCTATATTAAGTGCCTTCAGTAACAATTTGAGGTCTCCAGCATGCCCAGGACAAGCCTGTGAGGAGCAGGGAAGGAGGGTCCTGGTGGCCAAGTGCTACAGCAGGACACATGAACCTCTCTAGCAAAGTGACAACGAATGGTCTCCACATGAATCTGGGAAACACCGCTGCCCTCTTAACTTTAGCTTGTGACATGATTTTCTTAATATGGATGCACTGGCATGAAGGCAGTCTGTCTGGGCCTTCTGTGCAACAGAGTGAACTTGCTGGCACAGGCAAGTGCAAGGCATCGAGGCAGTAAATCACACAAACCCCTACATTCCTAGTATGCTTGCATCTCCACCGTGGTGCACAGGCACCTGCCTGCTGCCTCCTGAAACCCAGAGGGGAAACTCAGTGCCGCAGCATGAAACATCAACTGACGTGCCAGGTTACCAACCCACATAAAATGGGGGCCTGAAAGGTCACACAGCTCTATCAGCTCCAACAACCCCACACCATGGCAAGGGCTGCCCACCATCCCTGACAGTGGTCTCTGCACCCGCCTCCCTTGGCAAACGTCATCATTGCGTTCATCTCTCCAGAGAGCACCTTCACCCTGCTGGTGCCTTCTGCTCTCATGACCCATCTCACCAGCTTAAGCCCAGCCTTTGCAGCAGCGGGGTGGGTGCTCTGCCACCCTTCAAATCAGGAAGCATAGCACTGGATGTTTTGAAAAAGCAGTTCATTGTTAGCACAAAGAAGTAACACCCTACTTTTACTCCAGAAATGCTTAAAAGTGCTTTATCTTGTTAATTCTAGGTCAACTGAGTGCACGTGTGGTATGGATTACACTGACCTTTTTAGAGCTCCCAACATTTTTAAATAAGTAGGACACTTAACATCAGACACAAGCCAAGCTGCACACCTCCTGTACACCACACACCAAGATCTGCCGGTAGGCTTTACATACAAAACCAAGGAATATTACTTTATAAAGCCTGGCTTATATGGCACATAATTACAAACGTGAAATAAATTATAAATGCCAAGTTTGACCCAGGACCATATTAAATTGATACAGGTATTTTACAAAAAAAAATGCCTGTATTTGATGAACTAAAGTGACCTTTGCAAAGCCAACCAACAAATCAGTGGCAGATTTACAAACAGAGCAAGTATTTACAGCTGAGTGATAAAAAGGCCTACATTAAAGATAAAAGTTGTCTTGCTGCTTACAAAACACAATAGCATTGTCATTTCAAGCACAACTGAGACGTTTCATCCTTAAATATCTGAACAAAGTATCTGCAGACTTCAAACACAAGCAAGGATCAACATGCAAATGACCATAAAATTCAAGTTTAAAGAAGCTGATACTATGATTCACTGGAGATGTTAATTTGCCAGTGCCAGGTCTTTGAAAGTTTTAACCTTCCTCTCTGCACTATAAGCTTCCATATGCACTGGACCCTTGGACACAATTCCATTCTTTTCCTCCTTTTCACAGATGCCTTGTCTGAGAGAGGAAAGGAAGAAAAGGAAAAAAACCCCAACATGTTTAAGTAAACTACCTTTGGATCAGCCTTCCCCCCCCCCCCGCCCAGTTAAGTTTTCTTGAGGTCAGATTAGCACTCTGAAAGGAGAGCAGGCGCCGGCAGGCCCCGTGGCAGGCGGTGCTGTGACAGATGCGGGGCAGACCCAGGGGAGGCAGCCATGTGCTCAGCCCCGCATCCCCCGAAAGGGCATCCCGAGGAGAAGTTCTCACTTCGCACCGACCCGGGCAAATAACTCGGGGGAGTTCAACAGCGATCGCTTCCAGCGGCTTTCTCCTGGGCCATATGTTTTCCCCTGACATTAACGAGGCATTTCAGAGGAGCCAAACCGCTCTACCCGCTCTGCCGCGGACCCGCTCGCCAGCTGGGGGCCGGAGCCGCCTCCCCCGGAGGCAAGGGCGAAGCCGGCCCGGCCGGCGGGGCACCCACCCGCGACACCCACCCCACGGGGCTGCTCTCTGTGCCCGGAGGGAGCTGCCCGCCCGCCGACCCCCGGCGGAGAGGCAGGGCTGGGCTGGGCTGGGCGGCTCCTGCCGCAGCGCCCGGCGGGGACGAGCCCCCTGCCCGTCCCCGGGGCAGCGCGGCGCCGCCAGCGCCGCCAGCACCGCACCTCCGCCCCGCCGCAGCCCCTTCGCCAGCCGCCCGCCGGGGCTGGGAATGGGGGTCCCGCCCTCCCCCGCTCCCCGGGGCCGCCCCCGACCGGCGGGGGCACCGCTGCGGGACGGCGCCGCGCTCAGCCCTCGGCCGGCGCCGCACTCACCGTCCTGGCCGGCGCGGCGTGGGAGCCCTCCCGGAGAGGAGCGAGGCGAAGCCGCGGAGAAGCGCGAGGAGCCGGGGCCGAGAAAGCCGCCGCCGCCGCCGCGAGGAGGAGGCGGAGGGGGCGGGGGATCGGCGGTGGAGGGGCGGGGACGGGACGCGGGGGCTGGACCGAGCCGCTCGCAGCCGCCCGCCCGCCCCGCAGCCGGCCCTTCCTCCCGGCTGCCGCCGGGCCGGGCTGGCGGGGCGGGGAGCCCCGAGCGGGCGGGATCGCCCCTGCCCCTGCCCACGCCGCACAAAGGGGACCCGCCGCTGCCGCCTTTGTTCGCCCCAGCGGCGCCGGCAGGGGAGGGCGGCGGGTGGCAGGCTGGACGCTTCTTCCGCACGGAGATTGTTCCTCCGCCACTGGCAGACACGGAGTAACTTTACCGAAGTTAATTTCGGTCTGTGATGAAAACCTCTTCACCTGTGCCAAGCGCTGCTCGGCTCCAGCACTGAAGTCAGCCTACGCGCGGTGCTTCAGCTGCCTGTTTATGCCTCAGGAGCTGAATCTTGTTAAATTAAGGGTGGGCGTTTCATTGCTCAGGGTAGATGGGATCGTGAAGTCTGGTTTCTTAGCGTTCTGTCCTTGGCAGCCACCTAGAACTACTGAAAAACGAGTTTGAGATGCACCTTTACACTATTGTCTGTGGTAGGTCACAGATCTTCTTTTAAACGTTGCCACTCATGTGCCTATTATTCTATGTGTCCAGTTGCTCACTGATCATTGAGGTACCTTTAAAAGCACTTTTTTTTTTTTTTTTTTTTTTTTTTTTTTTTTTTTTTTTTTTTTTTTTTTTTTTTTTTTTTTTTTTTTGGCCACAGTACTCTAATGCTCATCCTATAAACCTCTTCCGACCTCACCAATTTCGGACCTTCTGCCCAAGTACTTGAGGTCAACGCATGCCGCCCTGTCATGCCAGTTAAAAGGACAGAGTGGGGAAGAATTTACCCTCATTCACATCTCGCTTAGAAGAGATTGAGAAACTTACAAATGGCAAGTATGAGGCCTTCTCTGAAGGATAGTTAGATTTCAGCCATTTGTATAGAGGTGGAATGAGCAAAACGACTCATTACTGTATATCCACAAGGGACATTTTAATAAGGCAATAACAAAACTAGACTACATTAGGGTTGTTAAGACCAGGTATAAATTTGATACGCTCTCTAACTGAGCAGCCCTCCTTAAAAGCTCTTTCCCCATCATGTTCATTAAGACCCAGCAGTTAAAAATCCCACCCTGGAGCCCTTACTGTTTGCTTAGAGCTCACCTTCCAGACAGAGGAGCAGGGTAGCACTGATCTGTTGGCGCTAAGCCAGCTGCTCAAGGTTAGTACTAGACCAAGTTGGTTTTTTGTGCTCCAAAGAAACAGGTGGTTTGTCAGTTCCCCTACCTATAGCCTAGAAATTTTCTGTGTGGTCCATGAGGTGCCTGTGGAAAGATACAGGTAATGTGAAGAAGGAGGGGAATATGCAGCATGTGAGCTCTTTCACATCATCAAGGACCTTCTGCTTCCTGCACATGGTAATGTGGCAGCTTTAGAGAAAGGGAATCAAAAGTATGTGAGCTTTAACCTTTATGCCTGTAGCTGGGTGAAAGGGAGGAAATAAATTTTTTGTTTTATCTTAAAATTAAAGAAGGATGTGGTTGGGGGTAAAAAGTCTGAACATATAAAACATTATAATAAGCATGGAGAAGCCATCAGGCAGCCTTAAGTAAAGCCAGTGTGCTAGAGCTACTTCATACATCCTAGGTACTATTGAGATCTGCTTGCTGCATTATGCACTAGGGACAGAAGCCAACCATCAGCCCTGTAGCTTCTGCTGAACAACCCCCCTGCCCACACAAAGGGTACTTCATTTGTTCAGTACACAGGCACCCCACCTCATGTGACCAACTTTTACAGGATGTGTTTTCTGCCTTTCATTCTTTAGGCTGGATGTCTGTAGTAGGGAAGGAATAGGCAAGTGCATCTGTAATGTAAAACTTGATAACTTGTTCTGGCCAGAAAATGTCACAATTCCTAGTCAAAAGAGAGCCTTGTCAGTATTTTAAATTTCAATCAATGTACAAACATTTGCTAAAGCCTAGGCATATATATACTGTTGTGCCTTTAGTGACAAAACAAAGACTATGGAATTGTGTCTTACGCTACTACCTGGTAAGTTTTTCACATCCAGGAATCACATGATGGATAGCTTTATTAAATTATGCCACACTGTGTAGCTGCTCCCTCTGGGAAGAAGTATGGAATAATACAATTAAAGTCTCACATTTTAATTTTAATATAACTACGAAAATATGACCTTTGTTCTCGCCATCAAGACAAGTGGCAGCCCAGCCTCTGCCTCAGACAGATGACCAACCCGTTGAAGCACTAGTGAGAGGTCCTGCCACTGCAAGGCAGGCTGCAGCCATGAGCTCGTCAGGAACACCCATGGACTTCATCATGTTCCATATCCCTCTAATGGAATCAGCACCCTGGCCCTAGGATGGTGTTTAGGGGTACCTTACGTGATTATCCTTGTACACAAATCTATGCATTTTGAGATGCTGATTTATAAATAAATGATCATATAAACCCCTGATTTATACATAATATTTAAGGAAAGAAACTAGTTTTATAAACATGGTTATAGATGATTAAACTCATCTGACTCAATAAGACTGCTCAATGGGAGTAAAAAATGTACATAAGAAATTGTGTTGTCTGGAACTATGTTAAGAACCTCTGGACATGAACATAAAATTACTGCATTCCAGACTGATTTTTTTCTTTATGCTTTCCAAATAAGATTATTATCAAATGCATTAATCTTGTCAGTCTATTAAAATATTTCACAACTTTTAAAAGGTTTTGAGATTAAAAAAAATAACACCCTCCCTCGTTGATCATAACTGCCTTTATAAATCTGTATTCTTATAAGACCAGGAATAAAGCTTTGTTGATCTAATCAATAGGTTTACTCCAAAACAGCTGACACCACTTAAAACTGTGTTAATTAACACAGGTTCTCAAGGTCCAGCTCTAATGCCAACAAGCTCTGTCCACCTTTAACAGAGCCTCATTATTTTTCACGCTACTTGAATCTGCCATTAACAGTAAGTCTCCACCTCACAGCTGCTGCTGAACCTGTGGTCTGCTTGCATTCAAAGAGGATTTCAGATGTATTTTGGCATGGCATATGCTATTCTCAATGTCACCTGTGAGTAAGAATGACTGAGCTGGTTAGCTCTAAAATCCTGTCTGTGGAAAGTTTGGGGTTTGGATATGTTCTCCTTATGTAAACTTATGTGTAAGGATTTAAAAATGCAGATTGCTGGCTGAATTACTCAGATTGAATTAGACACAGCAACTAAAGTACTAAGTGGTGTAGCCTCTATCCCTGCGTCTACACCTGTAGGATGTATTCAGTTCTGAGGCCCTCCAGTCAGCTGACCAGGAGGTGTGAACTGGGGTCAGCAACAAGCTCAACAGACCAAGCTGTAACCCGCACCACTGCCAAGTCTTTTAGTGTACTCAACCTTGGTTAAATCCATTACTGAGGCATGGGCTTGACTTTGAATGGTCAACCTGGTCTGCCTGCTCAGCCTATCCAGCCTTCGCCTCAGCTATGCCTGCCTAGGTGGGGATGAGATGGCTGGAAAAAAGCACCACCTTAGCCATCAGCTGGATCAGTCCATACCTGCATGTTACTGAGCTGCATGTAAACACTGAACAAAGCTCAGTGAGCAATATTTCACAAAAAACTGGCTGAGTCCTCCATTCCCACCCCCCATGTACATCCATCTGCTTGCACAAGCTCTATAGTCTTTGTGCACTGGACAGTATTGTGTAAGTTTGGGTTTTTTTCTTTTTTTTACTGTAATCATAAGCTTTGTAGAAAATGTGTGAGCAATGTGTTAGAAGAGGCTGTAAATTGTGCAGGTATTTAGGAATGCTGGGAAAAGTACTTTCTCAGTATTGTTTGAAGCAGAGGATTGATGACAAAGGAAAAGTGTTAGTCATGCTAACCCATTCTTCTGGTCAGTAGTGTGGTGAAACAAACCAGAAACACCCTTCTCAGCTCCCTGAAGGTTTCAACACTACTTAGAATCATAGAATGGTTTGTGTAAGAGACCCTTAAGGGCAATCTAGTTCCAGTCCCCCTGCCATTAGCAGGGACACCTTCCACTAGAGCAGGTTGTTCAGAGCTCAGTCCAATCTGGCCTTGAAACTTCAAGGGATGGGAACCTGTTCCAGTGCCTCACCACCCTCATAGTGAAAAATTTCTTCCTTATCTAATCTAAACCTACCCTCTTTCAGTTTAAAGCCATTACTCTTGTCCTATCTTTAGGACTTAGGAGGCTTTACTTATGAGATTGTTACAGCTGTTTATTTTCCAGTTTTGGAAGGCGTGTAGAGGTAATCCCAGCCAAAATGAAGGAACTGAAAGGCATGAGGCCACAACTACATCACTTGACATCTTGCCTCAACCCATACAATCAGAGAAATAAAGACACGTCTGCTCCTATTTCCTACGTACATCTACTTAGAGAACACAAGCCCATTAAAGCTGAGCGAGACAGATATCAGTTCTTTAATTAGCTTGTCCTTTTAAGTGTCCCAGGAAGATTATTATAAGAAATACCATATGATTGCCCAAGAACAAACGAGATATGCTTTTAAACACCCTTTATTACTTACATTGCATAAGCATTCCAACAATCAAATCTAACAGTTTGTTATCATAGTTGCAATCCCTTTGGCTTAGCAGCAGCAAGATGAATAGCATGTCATATCTCTTCTCAGCAAATAGCTGCCTGCCTTTGTAAACAAAACTGTCAAGACTGATTCTCCATACACATTTGCAAATTATATCCATTGGTTATGTGTCTTGTGGCATATTTAGTGTGCTGCCAAGGGAATGCTACCCTCGCATTAGTTCCATATATTACCAACACCATAATATCATCAGGGAACAATTGTAGGTACCTTGCAGACTATGGCTTAAATTCTCAAATGTCTCCTACAGAATGCTGATGACAAACATACTTATTAACTA